AAATAAGAAAATATGATCTGGAAAGAAAACAAGTTTTTAAAATAGTAAAGTATCCTAAGGCTATATTGTCATTTCATTCATCCAAACATTTGCCAAATTTCTACTATGTGTGTAGGATTATTCTAGAGGGGTGTATGCACATGTATGTTTTATACTAGAGAAATACAGCAGTAAACAAGACTGAATCCTTGCCCTCAAAGAGCTTACATTCTAATAGGGATAAGACTGTTAACAAATACAAAATATATTTTCAGATAATGATATATGTTAAGGAGGAATTAAAAGCAGTGTACAGGAAAGGCATTGATTTGGGGGAGAGAAGAGAAACAATTTAGATGTAATTGTTAGGAAAATCTTCCCTGAGAACAAAACTGAATTGATAGGAAGGGATGAGCAGCTTCTCTGTCCCTGTAATGCAATGCTAAAGGCCATGAGGAATGAGCTTGGCTTTTTGAAGAAATAGCAAGAAAACTGGGGTAGCTAAATCAGGAAGCAAAGAGAACAGTAGTAGGAACACTATGTAGGCAGGAAACTGCATACGGTCTTACAGATCAGTAGACAGTGTTTTGGAATTTTATTTTAAGTGTAAGAGGAAACTACTGGCAGGATTTACGCAAATAAGTAACATGATATTTACCCTACAATGGCCATCCTGACTGCAGTGTGGAGAATATAAGTACAGAAGTATAGAAACAAGGAAACAGCTTCAAGCAAGAGTGGAAACTTTCTAGTCTTTGTAGATTTGTTTCTAAGACATCATCTGCTTTCTCAAGAGACCCACTGACTATTAAATAAGCTAACTGTCTTCCATAATTCATAAGAGATTCCTAATATCCCACAATTTAAAATCCAAATTAATTTTAATTTAAAATAAAATCATACTAAAATACTTTTAGACTGAAAGTGCTAAATGAAACAAAGGTTTGTCTGCTAAAATGGTAATAAAGGAATTTCAAAAGAATAAATCGCCAATAAGGAAAATGAGCGAGAGGATATAAATGGACCAGACATTTCACTAAATCTCAGAGAAGCTCAAAGTCAGATGAAACACAACAGAGTATGCAAGAAGGGACTACAGGCAAACTCTATAATCAATAGGACAAACTGCCTAGAAAAAGAATCAGAAAAAAAATCTGGATTTATAGCTCCAGACAGAAAGGACAAAAGGAGCTGAAAATTAAACAGCAAGAGTTCCTTTTTTTTGTTGAGACAGAGCCTCAAGCTGTTCCCTGGGTAGAGTGCTATCACATCACAGCTCACAGCAACCTCCAACTCCTGGGTTCAAGCGAGTCTCTTGCCTCCACCTCCCAAGTAGCTGGGACTACAGGCGCTTGCCACAACCCCTGGCCATTTTTGTTTGGCGGGATTTGGATTTGAACCCGCCCGTTCTGGTGGATGTGGGTGGCGCCCAGCCGAAAGAGTTCCTTTTTAAAGAAAATAAACAAGCTACCTGCTGAAAACAGGATCTAGCACCCTCTTCATTTTGAAATTTTAGGGACAATATCCCTCCCCTATAAAAATTCTGTACCCAGTTACCAAGAAGCAAAGCATGTGACACTGATACATAGTATATACTAAAATATTTATTAATGACTGAGGGATGCCAATCAACAAGCTCTGCCTATATATACAAAGTTTCCAATCAGTCCATTTATTCTCTTACTCTAAAATATGTACAGGCAAATTACTATCATAAATAAAACAAGAATCATAATAAAAACATTAATTCTAGAAAAAAATCAAAACATTAAAGAAGGGAATATTATTGTTTTAAAAAGATAAGAATTTAGAGCTTGGCAGTCCTAGCACAGTATTTACGGCGCCAGGCACATATACCAATGCTGGCGGGTTCAAATCTAACCCAGGCCAGCTGAACAATGACAACTGAAAAAAAAATGCCAGGCATTGGGGTGGGTGCCTGTGGTCCCAGCTGCCTGGGAGGCTGAGGCAAGAGAATCAGTTTGAGGTTGCTCAAGAGTTTGAGTTTGCTGTAAACTGTGACACCATGGCAATCTACCAAGGGTGACATAGTGAGACTCTGTCTCAAAAAAAAGAGAGAAGAATTTAGAAATTTTTTTAAAACATGAGAAACAAATATTAAGAATTCAAAAAAGGGCTCTATGAAAATTAAATAATACCCTCAGAACACAGGGCAAAAAAAAAGACAGAAAATGAGAATATAGAAACTCATTTTGTTTATCAAATAGATTGGGAAAATGGATATAATATTATTCAAGAAAGAGGATTTCCAAGTGGCAGAACAACAACAAAAAAAACCCCTTCAAACTGAATGACCTCTTCAAGTGCTCAGCATATTCTTGTGAAATTTCAAAATTCTAAAGCTAAAAGAAAACTCTAAGCCTCTTCATGGAAGTAACAGATCACATACACAAAAATTGTGAGCAAGAGGCTAGACATAGTAGATCATAGTAATCCTACCACTCTGGAAAGAATGCTAAAGTGGGAGGATCCCTTTAACTCAGGAGTTCCAGACCAACCTGAGCAAGAGCAAGACCCAGTTTCTACTACAACTAGAAAAATTAGCGAGGTGTTGTGGCAGGTGCCACTAGCCTAGACAGAAATGACAAAGCTTCTTGGGAGACTGAGACAAAAGGACTGTGTGAGGCCAGAAGTTTAAGGCTGCTATGAGCTAGGCTGATGGCAAAGCACTCCAGCTTGAGCAGAGTGAGACTCTGTCTCTCTCTCTCACACACACACACATACACAGAAAGGCTTGGCGCCCATAGCTCAGTGGTTAGGGCACCAGCCACAAGCACTGGAATTGTACCAGACTTTTCACTAAATGGCTGGTTCAAACCCAGCTCTGGCCTCCCTGGCCTGCTAAAACAATGACGACAACAACAACAACAAAACAGAAGGGCACTGTGGCTGGTGCCTGTAGTTCTAGGTACTTGGAAGGCTAAGAGGACTGCTTGAGCCCAAGAGGTTGAGGTTGCTGTGAGCTATGATGCCACAGCACTCTACCAAGGGCAACATACTAAGACCCTATCTCAATTAAAAAAAAAAGTGAGCAAGAATAAGACTGGTAGTAGTTATTTCATATGAAGCACTAGATACTAAAGACAATAAAGCAATGTTGAAAAGTTCCAAGGGAAAATTATTTTCAACTTAGAATCAAACATGTAACCAAATTATCAATCCAAGCATGAAAGCAAAAAATCAAGTCATTTTCAGAAATGCAAGGATGTTGGGCAGCAGCTGTGACTCAGTGGGTGGGGCGCTGGCCCCATATACCCAGGGTAGTGGGTTCTAACCCTGCCCCGGCCAAACTGCAACAAAAAATGGTGGGTGTTGTAGCAGGTGCCTGTGGTCCCAGCTGCTCAGGAGGTTGAGGCAAGAGAATCGCCTAAGTGCAGGAGCTGGTGGTTCCTGTGAGCTGTTACACCACAATACTCTACTGAGGGTGACAGAGTAAGACCCTGTCTCTAAAAATTAAAACAAACAAACAAACAAAAATGCAAGGATGTTAAATTTATCTCCCTCTCTGATGAAGCTAAAGATGTTCACTGACAGAATAAGTGAAAAACTAAAGAGAATCCACTAGATATAAGGAACGGTGAAATTAACTTTAGAGTTTACTAAACTGAAATCCTATAAAGAAAACCAGAAAACAAGTATGGTCCACAAAATAACAGAAAACCTTGATAAAAAAGTAATAAATTCCATAAAATACATGTAATAGTTACATGAGTATTAAAAAATATACACACATCAATAATGAAAATGTGACATTTTAAGCAAATAATAAAGTTTAAGACATTATTTAACCTATCAGTAGTATTTAACCAATAAGAAAGTAATTCATTGACAACAGACTGATAGAGAAGGAAACGTAATCTTTGCGTACTACTTGGCTTTGTACTAGTGACAGGTAGATCGTTCTAATGAGTATAACAGTGTTTTGTTGGCTAATTTTCACCTTTTAGAAAAATTTCTAGATAAAAATGCAAAAGACTTATTGGGTAAAGTACAAATGTATTAAGAACATAGAAAAGGAACACCTGGAAAAAAAGACTTCTTCTGCCCTAAGAATTCCATAAATAAAGCAAAGAAGGTAAACCACAAATGGAGGAAGATATCTATAGCACATATCACTAATATAGTATTAATACACAGAATATGTGAAAATAAATCAGGAAAAAAAAGGAAAAGGGAAATGGACTAAAAAATATGACAGGCAGGCAAGTCGCAAAAGAAATCTAAATGTCCAAGATTTAAATGTGGTTAATCATACTAGGAATCTAGAAAATGAGTATTTAGACAATGAGATGACATTTTCTATGCAGATGAGCCAAACTAAAAGTCTCATACTACCAAGTATTGAAGAAAATGTAGTACAATAGCCATTCTCATACTCTGCTAATTTATGAGGGTATAACCCTGTACGCCAATTGTTTGGACAACAACCCAACCTTAGTGCAGAAAATGAACATACCTCATGGCCCAGCAATTCCACTTTTTGATGTATTTCCTGGAGAAATTCTTATATAAGCATACAAGGAAATGTGTACCCAAAACGTTCACTGTTATATTTGTTATTATGAAAACTAAAAATAACATGTTCATCAAGAGGACAGATTAACTGCTGTATTTTATAACAAGGAAATCCTATAAAGCAATTAAAATGAACTAGAGATACATGTATAAAAACATGCATAGACTGATAAATACCAACATCAGTACAGAGGAAAGAAGAAGGGAGGGAGAAAAGTACATGGGAGTTCAACTGTATGAAAAATCCTTAAGTTGGTTCATGGACATGTGTTTATATATTATTTTCTCTACTTTTTTGTGGCTAAAATATTTCATAGTAAAGAAGGTCCCTGAGGAAAAAACACAGTAAAGAAATTATGCAGTTAATACTTAAGGGATTTATTATTGTAAATCCTACTCTGAATCCAATCCTTGAATCCTAGTATTAAGAACTTACATCACTTCCACCTATAAATTATAATAGTGACCATTAAAAAAATACATACTCCGTAACTGATGTTACACTTTCCTGTCCAAAAGGTCCAACCGGATCATCCTTGAATTTATCACTTGGAAGTTGAGGTGGTAAAAACTCTACATCTTTTTTCTTTGGGACCTTGTAATACTTCCAGGCTATATTAGCTTCATCTTCTTCCAAGTTTACTGCTGTACCAACATATACTGTAGGTTCTACAGCTTCCTGGAATTGAGGTGGGAAAGACTGGGACAAACTGTCTATCCTATCTTCCACTGGTTTAGAAGGAACCAAGGGATCTGGTGTTGGCATTTGATAAAAATGCTGACTCTGAGGAGTTGAAGGTGTTTTAGTCACTCCTTCATCAACCACATCACAAGGATGAGGACTAAGTGGAGGTGGCTGAGGTGAGCTTGCCATTTCGGTGCCATGCATCTGAGAAGTCTTTGCTACATCATTAGTTCGTATGTTTGAAAATCTCACTTGACTGTCTGGAGCAGCGATCACAAGTCTTTGGCTGGCTGAATCTGTGTCCATGCCAACATCATCACTAATAGATACACGGTGGTGAAAAGGAGTCAAGGGGCGTTTCTGTGGCTTTTCACTCTTTTCTTGCTTCTCATTGGTCTTGTGCTTAGGAAGTACCTGTTGTTGCTGACCTAAAGATGCTGCCTGTCCTTGTTGTCCAGTATTTCTTGGTTTGAGATTTTTGTGCCTGAAAAGTTAAAAGAAAGTTTTATTATTTACCGTGTCACTGTTATAGCATACAAGTTAACAATACGTAGTACAATAGCCATTCTCATACTCTGGTATCAATTTAGGTACCATTTATTTTTCACATATGATTCTAAAAGTAGAATGATTTGAATTTACATGGGAAAAAAACTTTATTCAGTAACTAAAAATATAAGAGCATACAGAAAGATTCATAAAAGCCAATTCTCAAGCTCATTTAATAGCTTGTGATCAGATAGCCAAAGATAGTTTCCCTTACATAACAAAATACCTCACTATCTGATTTAAATACAGAGGGGTAGGATTCTAGTTAAGATAAAAAGATATGAAAAAGTTTGAAATGTATCCCTTTCTACATGTAACTAATATTTCCCTGTTAGTAATATCATAAATTCATAGCTTAGCTGAACTCAGTCTTCTATAATCCTGCAGCACCTGGCTGAAAAGCATATTCTACTTTACTCAAGTTAGATCAGTCTAGAAAGTACTGAAATTGACTCATTAATGGGACTACCTACCTTCTCCCAAGACTTAGCATTACAGAAAGAATGAGCTGACTAAAAAAGTTAAAGAGGCTCGGCGACCATAGCACAGTGGTTACAGCCACATGCACTGAGGGTGGCAGGTTTGAACCTGACCCAGGCCAGCTAAACAACAATGACAACTGCACCAAAAAAAATAGCTGGGCATCATGGTGGGCACCTATAGTCCCAGCTACTTGGGAGGCTAAGGCAAGAGAATCACTTAAGCCCAAGAGTTTGAGGTTGCTGTGAGCTGTGACACCATAGCACTCTACCCAGGGCAACATAGCAAGACTGTCTCAAATTAATTAATTAAAGAAAGGAAAAATGCCCACAATAATTTTTTCCTCATAACTTGAAGCAATTGTAAACTGAAATACTTAAAATATATTCCTACAAATTTAATAATTTCATTCAGAGTTCATGATTTTTTTCCACGCATTCTCAGATTTCCAAATTCATTGATATTGATACATATAAATATATTGTTTCCACTAAGAAACTACTCAAGAATGTGGTAGGATGTGGAGTTTAAATGTTCAGAATTAGATTTTTCTGTTAAAAAAAAATTATTTTCTTTTTTTGCAGTTTTTGGCAGGGGCTAGATTTGAACCCATCACCTCTGATATATGGGGCCAGCGCCCTACTCCTTTGAGCCACAGGTACCGCCCGTTAAAATTTTTTTGCTTGTTAACTCAATGCTACCCAGAAAGAGTATTAAAAAGCAGGGGCAGTCACTTTTTTGCATCACTTTATATTAAGGGAATATACTGAGACGCACTTGTGTACAGAGCCTGGCATATCCTAGTGCTCAAGGGTAAAAAGAAAATAAACATGGAAGTTAAGATAGAAAACTGGACTTGTGGCTCGGTGGCTGTAGGTCAATGGTTAGGATGCCAGCCATATGCACTGGGGCTGTTGGGTTCAAAGCCAGCCCCAGCCTCCAGGAAAAAAAAAAATAGCCCAGTGTTGTAGTGGGCACCTGCAGTCCCAGCTACTTAGGAGGCTGAGGCAAGAGAATCGCTTCAGCCTAAGAGTTTGACACCATGGCCCTCTACCAAGGGTGACAGCTTGAAACTCCGTCTCAATAAAAATAAGAGAAAAAAAGAAAAAAAAAAAAAAAGAAAAGAAAACTGGACTGTGTCAAAGGACATAGGAGAAAACCACCATTACGTGATACCAAAATCAAAGATATGATAAAAAACAAAACTAAAGACTAATATCCCTGAAGAACACAGATGTAAATCATTAACAAACTTAAATAATTATAAGATATTTCCAACTCAATTCAGCAACACATAAAAGGATAATACATCACAACCAATTGGAATTTATTCCAGGAATGTAAAAGAATTTATTCTTTGATTGTAGAATTCAAAAGAAAAAAATATTATTCTTCACGTTAACAAAATAAAAGAGAAAACCATATTCTCTCAATAAAGAAAGAAAAACGGCTCGGCGCCTGTGGCTCAAGCAGCTAAGGCGCCAGCCACGTACACCTAAGGTGGCGGGTTCGAATCCCCAGCCCGGGCCCACCAAACAACAATGATGGCAACAATGATGGCTGCAACCAAAAAATGGCTGGGCGTTGGGTGTTGTGGCGGGTGCCTGTGGTCCCAGCTACTTGGGAGGCTGAGGCAGGAGACTCGCTTGAGCCCAGGAATTGGAGGTTGCTATGAGCATGATGCCATGGCACTCTACCCAGGGGGATAGTTTGAGGCTCCATCTCAAAAAAATAAAGAAAGAAAGAAAGAAAAACATACAAAATTCAACACCTATTTATATGAAAAGACTTAGCAAATAGAAGAGAATGTGCTTAACATGATAAAGATATTTATGAAAAACTTCAACTACTATCATAATGATGGAAGACTGAATGAGTAAACTCTCCCTTCGAACAAAGCAATAATATTAGCTCTCAGCATTTCTTTCTTTCTTTCTTTTTTTTTTTTTTTTGAGACAGAGTCTCACTATGTCACCCTTGGTAGAGTGCTCTCAAACTCTTGGGCTTAAGTGATTCTCTTGCTCAGCCTCCTAGCTGGAACTACAGGCACCCACCACAATGCCCAGCTATTTTTGTTGTTGTTGTAGCTGTCATTGTTTGGCAGGCTTGGGCTGGATTCGAACCCCCCAGCTCCATGTGGCTGGTGCCCTAGCCGCTGAGCTACAGGTGCTGAGCCTAGCTCTCAGCATTTCTACTTAACGTTTTACTGAAGGTTTTAGCCAATGCAATAAGGTAAGAAAAAAGAAAGAGGTAAGAGATTTCAAAGGAACTATACAAATTATCTTTATTCTTTAGTCAACATCAGAAACTATATAATAAAAGGGGTCAAGCTGATCACTACCTAATCAGTCTCAACATTATTAGACATGGAACAGCCAAATATTATGTCTCTTCTGATATAACACAAAGCAACACAGCCTCATCTATGAAGTATTCTTGCAAAAAAAAAAAAACCCTAAAGTTGAATCTAATCAAGCCTCCAGATCAGCACTGTTCAATAGAACTTACTACAATGATGGAAATATTCTGCACATGGCTCTCAAGTACCTGAAATATGGCTAGTACAACTGAGGACCTGAATTTTTCACTTTATTTAAATCCAATTACTTTACATTTAAATAACCAATAATGTTTACTGGCAGTAGTGGACAACACAGCTCTAGGGCTACCTTCCATTTACAGAAATGCAAAGGATAAAGAAGTTACAAGACACTAAAAGAACAAGTTATTAAATGACAAGTGAGAAATCAAGGTATGTATGGGACATTCTACAGGACTAACCTAGTTTAACCAACCAAGTCAATGTCATATAAAGAAGTCATGAGCTGAGAGCAAAGACTCAGAAGACTTAACAACCAAACATTTACTACTTATTTGAATTCTAATCAAATAAACTACCTCCAAAGACATTTCTGATACAAATCTGGACAAAGTAGTATGATACCAAGGAATTACTGTTTATATTATTAGGTGTGATAATGAAATTATAGTTATGTAAAAAGATATTAATATTTTTTAGAGATGCACAATGAGGTACTATAGAATAAGATATTTCAGATTTGTCTGGCAGAGTGTAGCATAGTAGATTTGCCAAATTAAGTACATGTATAAAATACAGTATTATGAACTTCAAGTAAAAAAGAGAGTAGATATACAACTGCTAACATGGAAAAATAACTATCAAAAAAAAGTAAGCTGCAGAAACACAGCATGATTACATTACATCTGTTTAAAAGAAAGCAGCAAGGAAAGGGGAGACACACACACACACACACACACACACACACGCGTGCGCGGAAAGGGTGCCCAAAAATGTATATATATTTTAAGAAAGAGAAAAAACTGTATTAAATTTGTAATATTCAAGTCATATTTGACTTCTGCATTTATAAGAGATAGAAGATACAATATACGCGATAACAATCATCTTGTTATACTTTTAATAGTTTCCTTTCTTAAAATGTGTAAACATTTTTTTGACACTTTTTGGAGGAAGAACTTGTGATTTTATTTTTGAGACAATTTCACTTTGTCACCCTCAGCAGAGTGCTATGGCACCACAATTCACAGCAACCTCAAACTCTTGGGCTCATGTGATTCTCTTGCTTTAGCCTAAGTAGCTGGGACTATAGGCACCTACCACAATGCCCGAATTTTTAGAGACTGGGTCTCGCTCTTGCTCAGGCTGGTCTCAAACTCCTGAGCTCAAGTGATCTACCTGCCTTGGCATCCCAGAATGCTAGGATTACAAGAATGAGCCACTGCAATCCGGTCTTGAACTTGTAATTTTAAATGTTACATTCTTGTGTATTGTGTAAATTTTTTAAATGAGCATTATTTTTTGAATGAAGGTATTTGTCATAAAACAACAACAGCAATGAACAGCAGGTCCTACCCAATGTAGGAATAATCCCTCTCTGACTAGTCCCTTTTTGAATACTTTCAATAACAAGGACCACATTAACTTATGAGGAAATGCATCCCCATCAGCAAATAACTCTAGTTGTTAGAAAATAATTTCTTATGTTGAATAAAAATTTGCCTTTTCTGTATCTTCCAGTCACTAGTCTTATTTCTAACTATTTCTAAAGCTTTAGTGTCCAATAATGGTAGTTCTAAGTCACATGTAGCTATTAGACACATGACTAGTCTAAGTTGAGATGTGTTCTAGGTGTGAAATATATACCAGTTTTCAAAGACATAAAGGAATGCCAAATATTTCATTAATTTTATTACTGACTTTGTTTTTGATAAATCAAGTTCAATAAAATGTAACAAAAAAATTTTAAAAGCTCTTCAGCAAGAAAAAAAAGTCTAAATAAAGCAAACAGTAAGTAAAGAAGAATGGCTGATAAACAGGAAATTATTGTTCAATTCTCTTATTTTGTATATGTTTCATTTTTTTTATAACAAGGTGAACTAAGATGCTTAAACTATTTCAAGGTCCTTGTTTGT